AGCGTGCGCACTTAACTGCTTGCACCACCGGGCCGGCCCCATGACCTAAATTTTTTTAATAGGAAAAGAATAGCAAGTACCATCAAGAGAGGTGTTTTTTTTGCTATTTCACTTTAAAAACAGTGGAAATGCAACATAATTCTCTTGCATTATAGTGTCTTTGTAAGTTTGTTCTTTCCTTTACTTGTGACTAGGAAAAGATAGTGAATCATGTTATCTAAAAATATATTTCCTTTCAAAAGATAAAGGAATAAAATAGACAAATCAAAATGTTTTATATTTTCCCATTACATACCACATCTGAGTATCTCTTTGCAAAGTATCATTGTAATATTTCCGAAGTAGACATAAGTTACAGAAAATAATTTTTCACTTATAGGTAAGCATAACTGTATTGTTCATAACAGTGGAATTAACCTCTGTATTACCCAAGTCAATAAAATACATATTAAAATCTTGTCACTTGGGGTCTTTCTCTACCAATTTTAATTCCTAGAAATGAGACTTAGGTGTTTCTGTATTTCTCAAGTGTCTCAGGTGATTTTTATTAGTCAAGTTTACAAACTGGAAGACAGTAAACAGGCTCTAGTAATAGATACTGATAAGGCATACCAAAGTTTCCAATAATACTAACAGATCAGGTAATAACAGCAAAACAAAAAGTTTGGTAATGCTGGCCAATTATGGAACATAGCTTTTCTGGGAAAGAAACCAAAATAATGAAGAAAAATACAGTTGAGATGTGAGGCACTGTTTTAGGTGCTGGGGATACAGCAGAGAACAAAATAAAGTTCCCACCCTAAGGGAACTTACGTTCTAGTGGGGCGGCAGTCAATGACAAATGAAAAAAATAATAAAGTCAAGTAATGGTAACTGCTAGAACAAAAAGCAAGATAAGGAATATAACAGGGGGAGGGTACTAATTTGGAGACCTGAGATGACATTTGAGCTGAGAACTGAATTAAGTGAGGGAACAAGCTTTGTACAAATCAGGCATAAAAGCATTCTTGATAGAGGTAACAGCAATGCCAAGATCCCGAAGTATTTTGCAGTGTTTTCTAAGAAGAGCAAGGGGAGTATCGTGAGAGAGGCAAAAAGAACAGAAATAGCTAGGGAAACAGTGCGATAGGTTAGAGAGCTGTGAATGCTGAGTCCATTCATTTATTAAAAATTATGGAACATTGGGAGTTTTTTCAGTCTTATTGGTGGAGAAGGGTTGAGTCTGGTTTGACATATTTTATGATTAGATATCTAAGTGGAGATGAGTTCAGGGAGTGGTTGAAGATGAAGATATTCAGTGCAGGAATGGAAAGAGAAGGAAAAATAGTAAAGCTGTTGAGACAGAGCACAGAAATCAAAAGTCATATGATAGCAACACCACAGGAATTCCAGAAAGTAAAAAGAATTGGGCATGACACAAGACCTGAGCAAAGAAAATAAATAAAACATACCTAGACTCAGCATAGTGAAACTGCAGAACACCAGAGATAAAGCAAGGCTTTGAAAACTACATAGAGAAAAAAACAAGTAACAAGTGCCAATTCAATTCCACAGCTCATTCTACAGGTTAGAAAGCTAATAGTAGCATACAATGGTGAAATTACAATGCATCTCACATTTCTGCCAGATAAAGTATGTATATCATCAATGCAATCAATAAGCTTAGCTCATTTAATAGAATCATTATGAGCTGCCAGGGAGGAGGTTGAGACTGTTTACACCTCTTCAATTTAATATTTAGATCAAGAGTCAAATGTAGAGTGGGACATGGAATTAAAAGCATCTCATTCATTTGGGAGTTTGAACTACCAATCCTTCAAATAAAGCTTACTTATTTTTAACTGAAGGACAAGGTAGCTAATGACCTTTTAGAACAGAAAATCTGGCACATGAAGCCCCATTGGCAAATTGTATTCTTGGAAAATTCTAAAAAGTATTTTTTTAATCCTACTTTACCAAGTAATCTCATCTTTCATTCTTTAACACAGCAAATATTTCCTATCCCTAGGTCTTTCCTTATAAAGAATCCAAAGCTTTTCTGTAATAAAATCAAACTATTTGGTTCTGAAAAAAAGAAGAAAAAATTAGCAGAGTGTTCTACAAAAATCACTTACTATAGTAAACTGCCAGGAGAAATATAACTTTAAATGAATGGTTTTCTTCTAAATATCTACAATTAGATGACAACGATTGTAACAAAGAAGTTTTGACATTTTGTCCCAAGATATCGCTGTTGTTGCACTACTCCCTAGCTGCCTCCCGCTTAAACCTGCTACACCCATCACAAATCTTGCATAAAGTGCTGCAAGAATACCTAATAGTTTTGTATTTTTAAATTGAGTCTTGAATTCAAGTAACCTATGTTTGATAGAGATATCCATACTAATATGCTTAAATATACCAATTTACAAACACTTAAAAATATTTTTTGCATTATTTGCTAAGTAATGAACTACTCAAAATTTTAACAATTAAGCCACATTTACCAGTTCACATTTAAGTTTCAGATGAAGCTGGGAAAGGCTGAAAAAAATCCTATATTTAAACAATAGTTGCTTACAAGCTCCTTTTCACTTAAAAACCATCATAGGGGGCCGGCCCAGTGGCACAAGCGGTTAAGTGCTCGAGCTCCTCTGCAGCGGCCCGGGGTTCACCAGTTCGGATCCCAGGCACACACCGATGCACTGCTTGGCAACCCATGCTGTGGCGGCGTCCCATACAAAGTGGAGGAAGATGGGCACGGATGTTAGCCCAGGGCCAGTCTTCCTCAGCAAAAAATGAGGAGGATTGGCAGATGTTAGCACAGGGCTTATCTTCTCACAAAAAAAAAAAACGCATTGTAGTTATAAATCTATGACAGTTATTATTTATGGTCCAAAGATCATTTTCTAGTCAGAAACAGAGTAATGGTGGTACAAAGATAAGAATTATGCCATTTACCCCGGGTGCATATTCTTGATAAATCTCAAGGAAATAAAATCTATGTAAATCAGCATATAACCTACACAACTCTTTCATTATTTGACTACAAAAACATTACAAACCGTAAATGATCATATATGTGATCTACATTTTACCCAACTGTAAATGTTCTAATTTTATTAAGCCACTCACTCTGAAATTAATGAAGGAACCATTCACACTCCAGTTTGCCACAGCTTTCCAGTCTGAAAACTACTTTCTAACATATCCTAAACAAAGAATATTTTCTTTATAAGCAAACAGGCCATTGCTTTTAGTAAGAATCATTTATTTATATTATTAAAGTGGAGGGTTAATTGGTACAGTTCTATGCATAATCTCTCATCCTTGAAAAATTAAACACAAATGGATAAAAATAGCAAAGCAGAATGAGCACGTAAAAAACAAAAATGAAGCATATTTTATAGAGAATGTTCCCTGTTATATCTATGTACTAATACTAATGTTCTTCTCAACTGTGTCTTAATAAATGTATGGCTTGTTCCTTTTCTACAATTGTTGACTTCTCACAAATAACGAACATATTTTCCATCGATTAATAAATGTTACATACAGTTTTAAATTTTTTCATTCAACTCAGCTAATTAGTTGACTGAAATATTCAACTAAATGTAGCATTAAGAGCGAGCCCATTCCATTGTCTCAATACTGTTCTTCTGTGAAATTTGCACAATAGGATGTAATGCAAATGTCCCAGCTATAAAGTGATGAATTAAAAATGCCAACTTTGATCTGTTTACTGTGTTATATTGACTTAAGCATTATAATTTTTTGTTAAATGCCATCTTGTGGAATGAAATAATCATTTATACTGAGGAAAAAAGTGAAAAAGCTTAAAAAATGTGTACCGCCACTAAATTGTTTTATCACTTTTGTATTTAATTATAAATCAGATGTTTAAAAATTGAGTTATTCCTCATATTATCTGACACACCAGGAAAAAAGAGATTATCATTCTTTAGAGTAACTATCTAAAAGAGGAATCACTGCTTTTTTTTTAAAAAAAAAAAAGGTGGAGGGGGCTTTGTTTTGTACACATACTGTACATTTTAGACCTAACTGGATAAAAGGAAAATATTAAAAAATACATCTATGGACAAATTTCTGTAGATTGCTCACATTTAAGAATATTACAGGAATATATCAATATACTTATATTTGTCAAAGTTAAGATTCAAATTTGTTAAATCACAGCACACATCCAAGAATGTATGCCACATGATACAAAAACTCCCACCAAATATAACAAAATAAAAATCTGTGAATAAATACCAGGCATTCTAAAATAATATCTGCAGAAAACCAGAGTCCAACTAGATTTCTATGATCTAAACTTCACTTCATAGATTCATATAGTCTTCAAAACAGATTTAACTGTAGTGCTACACATTAACAATATTCAACTGATTACCAAAATATTTTTTGTATTTTGTATTTTGGTACTTTTTCTGGCAGCTAAATGTTACTACTTAAAAAAAAAGTTAAGTGCTTGAGGGAATAGAATGCAGCAGAAAATTACAGGAGCCCACATATCCTTTTTCTTAAATTTAATTTGTCATATATAAGGTTTTTATATACAATCAGTGTGCATTGTAACAGTTTATATTAAAAGTCAACCAAGTTTATCTAAAATGTTACCTTGCTGCATAGCACATTTGACATTATTGCCCACAGGAAAAGGGAAAACAAATGGATTTACAATAACTTTTGGCCATTTTGGATTCTGAAAGTGTTCATACACCTACCCTTTTAAACCAAATGCATCTGAAAAAAAAGTTTCCAGAGCATGCAGTTTAGATTTTACATATTATCTCACCAGTTTTTTTTTTACTACAAACACAACATTGACTAAAAAAAGAAAAAAAAAAAAAGGAAGAAATAACATGAATCTAATAAAATAGTCAATATAAAAAGACGACTAATGGAATTAAGTGGCCCCTTTCCCCATTTTTACATTCTAAACAACGATTCCATCAAGACAAATCATTAAAAAGTGTTATTACACTGATATTTTTTTAAAATGATAAGAAGGCCTGAGTTGGTAGGGAAAGGAACAGTCAAAAAAAGCCTGAGAAGGGGAAGGAAGTAAGGAAAGCTCATTTAATCCATTTACAATAATTTACAGCCATTTTTTTTTGTGTGTAAAAAGGCATAATAATAGATCACAAACAGGAAATTTCTGGCTATTTTACAGATATAAGTACAGAATTTAAATATTCAAGCTTGTGATGAAAAGCGGCAAGGTGGTCGCAGTGTACAATGTAAACAAGTAGCTTTGGAAAGTGAACAAAGTCCTTGAGTGTTTTTTCTTTATTAAGAAAAGAACTCTCTTTCATTCCTTCCTGAAACATGATCACAGGTCAGAGTAAAGTTCATATACAAACATAATTTAAATGGCGGTCAGTCTAAAATCACTGACTTAAAAACAGTTTTATCCAGCCTACATGGAAGGGCAGTGTTGAGGTCCCTGTAATAGTAAACATTTTCCATTTCTTTAAAAAAGAAAAAAAAAAGTACTACAATATCTGTAGTACAGTGCAGCATAATCCTTAAATATAAAAATATTTTCTCTTCTGTTGGGATAATAGACCTTGCATCCTGGAAAGAAGTAACAATACTGCTACTGATAGAAGATCTGCTTATATCTTTCAAGTCATGTAAGGCAATTACTGTGTTGGTTTATGATATATGGCTAAAAGTCCAGAAAGACGAAGTATCAGTTTTTGTTATGTTTTCCGACTACTCCAGGTGTGCTCAGGTGTACTTTTGTGTTCAATTGAGTGTTCAAATGGAGACCTGGAGCCATAAGGAGACCTCTGATCTAGTGGCGACCTAGGGCCACTACTAGAAGCTCTGTGGTCCATTTGCCAATCTGAGTGATACCTGTAATCCCTGGAAGATTTATGGTGCGTATATTCAGAGCCTGACCGATGGTCTGAATGTAACCGATGATCTGAATGAGCACGATGGTCTGAATGAGATCTATCTTTTAAACTTCCTTCCAAATTTGACCTGTGATCTCTACTCCTGTGATCATCCAGTTTTCTGTGTTTCTCTCTATCACTGTAGTATCTAATACAAGAGAAATTAGGAATTTTAGTTAAATTAATAATGCAAATTAAATGCTTCCAAATAAATAAAATCTTACCAAAAAGTACAACAAAAAACTACTTTAAAGCATATTCTTAATTGTATACAAGCTCAGTGTTTCATTACAAAACTTCACAAGTGAGCTTAAAAATCACTGTAAACATCTCTGCATGCCTTTGGAAAAACTATTTGATTCATAAAACTAAAGTGAACCATACAAAGCCCCTCAGATAGCATCTAATTTCACATGCCCATTTTAAATTGGTTGCTATTTTTTATTCTATATATCATTTGTAATAATGCATCTTAATTATCTGGAAGTTGGAATTAAGATAATTACAACTATCTAGAATACCCTCAAAATCAGAGCCTTTTATGAGCCTGTAAGCAGGAAAAAATAAAAATCTCTAAAATGTAGTCTATGAAATAATTTGTAGAAGAGAATTGGTTCATGATGCCTTTTAAAAGCTTTCTTAAGTTTGATTAGTTATATATATATAATAAGACTTGACACATGAATCGTTATTGCAAAATTTACTACATATATAAATGTGGCTATTTGCTAAAAAACAAATAATTATGGCAGTTTAATAAAAAGTATTCTCTAAAACATTTATCTTTTCAAATAAAATACACTGAACATAATTTACTGTTTTTTGGTTCACAAAAGGTCCTTATTATAAACAATATAAATTATGTTCTATAAACCTGTGAAATTATAAATATTTCCTATTACAAATATGGCTTTTCCTTTTCATTTTGTGCCCTTTTCTAATTTTAAGGGCCATTCTACAATTGATGTGTGTATATAGTGTGACAGTGCTACTCAGAGAGAAGAAATTATTGCAGTGAGCACAGCTAAAATACAAAGAAAATGTACTTTTTTTATTTCTGATCTTTATTTTTATTCTTCTCAGTTTTTTATTCTGCTTTTAGCAATGATCATTAACTAATGAAAATATTACTTTACCAATAAAGGAGTAAAATATATTCTGTTATTATATTCAGCTTGTTTACTGCTTACAGGCTTCAAAAAAAAACAACAACAAAGAAAACTTCCTAATTTCAGGACTATCCCAGACTGCTGTGATTAACTTTAACCTCAATGGGGTGTTTTCGCATAAATTAATTTTTCCCATGCGTTTCTTTAATGAAATGGAATACAGAACTCCCCCCAACAAATTTCAGCCATATTCCATCAAGCTTTTATTTGACTTTATTATTATATTTTGAAGACTATTTGAGCCAATAGTCTTCAAAACCAATAATGAATCCCATGACTTGTAATCATAAAACTCCCTAAACTAACTTTCATCTCTTATTGCACACTTTGATCTTAAATTTATAATTAAAAAACCATTTTATAGAGAAATTCAGTTCTAAATATTAAAAAAGTACTATAATATCAGTTTTCCTTATTTATAAACAAACACCTTCATTTCACATAAGACTTGTTTTGATTACTTAAAAGACTGAATTGGCTGATAAGGTCAAATACAGCAAATAAAATAAAAAAGAGGAAGACATGAATAAGCAAAATTTCAAAACTGACTTCAAGTTTACCTGCTGTCTTGCTTGTAGTGATCCCAGTCACGATGCTCTTTACCATTACTAAAGGAAGAATAGGGTCTCTTCCTAGAGTCACTCTTTTTGTAAGAATCTCCCTGATGTCGGTCTTTATGATGATCATGATACTGAGATAAGTGTCTATCAGAAGAATAACTGTCCCTGCTGCTATCATCGTGATTTGTGTTCTCTTTTAATCTTTCCACATCTGTTAGATATGAAAGAGTTCAACTTTTGTTAGACTTAAAAAAATACATGGTAAACAAAAGTCACTTTGCTGCTAGATTACCAGAACTTCTGTTTCAACCCAACTAAACAAAATCAGTCCCCAAATACAGGCAGTTAAAGCATTTAGAAATGGTCTATAAAAGCAGTACTAAAGCTTACAACAAAAGGGTCACTTAATCACATTAGTTGTAAATGTAAAAAAATTACAACTGAAAAATGTAAGGCCCATTTTCTTCTCAGGCTATACTTTTGTGACTGTTATACAGAAAGAACGCAGTATTATTCCAAATAATATTTTTTAAAAATATGTCCATTTTAACTATTCTACATTTTCTAGAAACTGGTAAAAGGTTGATTTATGGAAAGGTTAATAATAAGCTAAAAAGCATTACTGTTTAAGATAGATTTAATATAATAACATGGGTATGTATTATCTAAAACAGAACAAAAAAGAAAATCAATTTATAAATTTACTTTTCAAAGTAATTAGTAAAACTTACCTGGATTTCTAATCACTTGAGCATTCAAGTTGCTGTTCTGGTCATTATTTTGCTAAAATAAATGCACATACATAAGAATCTTTTAAGTGGCTTCAAATATCCTTACAAAACAGGAAAAAAATCCCTAAGAAGAAAATTCTGATGCTGAAAGAAATCCTCACATAATAGAATGTAAACTATTCATCCCATTATTTTTTTAAAAAATTTGACTTCAAAATAACTTTAGATTTACAGAAAAGCTGCAAAAACAGTACTGAGTGCCTATGTCTTTCACTCAACTTCTCCTAATGTTAACATCTTATATAACCATAGTATAATGATCAAAACTAAGTAAGTAACATTGGTACAATACTATTAACTGGACTACAGACTTTATTCAGATTTCACATTTTTCCACTAAGGTCCTCTTCCTCCTCCAGGACCCAATCTGGAACTCCATATTACACTTAGTTTTCATGTCTTCTTAGTTTCCTCCATTCTGGGACAGCTCCTTAGTTTTTTCTTGTCTTCCATGACCTTGACACTTTTGAAGAGTACTAGACATTTACTGTGCAGAATCTCTCTCAATTGGGGTTCGTCTGATATTTTTTCATGATTAGATTGAGGTTATGCATTTTTGCCGAGAATTCCACAGAAGTGATGTATCTTTCTCAGTGCACTGTACATCACATCAGGGGGTTCATGACAGCGATATGTCTTATTCCTGGTGATGTTAACCTTGACTGCTTGTTTAAGGTGGTGTCAGGCAGGTTTCTCCTCTATAAGGTTATTATTTTTCTCTTTGCAATCAATAAACATCTTAGACGAGATACTTTTAGCTTATGCCAATATCTTGTTTTCTTGCTCACTAATTTTAGCTTTCTTCAGACGATCTTACCTGCAACAATTTTTAATGTGGTGCTCTAATGGTGATTTTCTATTTCTTTCATTCCTTCTACATTTATTAACTGAATTCATTTGTAAGGAAGAATGTCTCAGTTTTATTAATATAAATTAAAGGAAAAAATATGATGTGTTAATTTACCTGAGATTCCTGCCGTTTTTTAATTGCATGCTTATATAATTTATGTAATTTTCTTGCATCAAACTCAGTAAACTTAGATACAAAAATCCACAGGTTTCTAGAAGAAGAAAAGGCAAATTAGTCTGGTGGAAAATATTTCACTTTTTCATGGAACACCTTCCCTCCAGACAGAAACACACCTACACACATATGTGGTCCTCTATGGAACAAAGTCTAAGGAGATTATTTTTAGTATTTTTTAAAACTGCATGTATGGAAAAGACTCCAAATGAAAGTAAACGTTATTAAGTTTTACTTTTCTTCTAAATCCCTTCATTTTATAATGTCTGGAGTAAAAGGTAGTAATCAATCATAATTTGAAACTAAAGAGATATAAACTTACAAATCAGGAAGGGATTCCTATTGTGATTCAGATTAGATATAAAAGGAAGAAGCTAATTAAATAGTTTGAGTAAAGATACCATCAGATATTATGGATTAAGCCTATGAAAGGAGGATTCTAAATAACACATTAAAAAGCAATTGTCATTTTATAATTGTGATGTGATGGTCACGAGAATAACATACCAGACACTATAAACCAGGGAGGGCATGGTGTCTTGAGGCCTCTCTTCCCATGGCAGAGATTAGTAACTGATCATAATACTCTTTCATGCAAATGCAGACGCAGCCTATGAATCCTGCCCAATACAGCTTCCTCAGCAGCCACTGATAATCAGTGACAACTGAGCTGAAATCTATCTGCCATCATTGAAATAGTAATGGTTTCTATATATTTACATTTTTTTCTTAGACCACTAATTTTTCAGTAGGTATATTAAAGTATGATTTTGAATTTTGCTTATATGAACAGGGTAGAGAAATTACTAATTAGCCGATGATGGAGTTTAGTAGACTACCCAACATCAACACCTGTAATGAGTCAAGTAATAGATTTTTAAAAAATAATACACCTCTGTGTATGAATAATGGCTTCCCAAAAGAAAGCCATCTTCAAGTGACAGTGATGGAAGTAAGAAGGTCTAAGAAAGTGAAAACTCTTAACTAGACAGTAACTTGCATCTATTGCATATCACTACAAAGCATACATTAAGTTGCAAAGCTTTGAGTCAGATACTACCGATATCAGGTACTTTATACAGTTTTTGTATTTTCAAAGCTCTTTTCTATTATTTAATTCCACAAATAACCATCCTTTAGGTAGGCACAGTAAGTCTAACAGCCAATTTTTAAAATAAACAAACAAATGAGGTAATGAACCAAGTGACTTGCCTAAATTCATACAGATTTAAGTAAAGCCAGAATACAGGACTCCTAATTCTCTTTCCACTAAGATCAGTAATTCCTAGCCTTTTGATTTTGGATGTTGATATGCATGAACAGCTGCTTGCTAGTAAACCACTAAAAAATTGCTAAGTGTTAGTAAATTTTGGAATGCATAGTCTGTGAGTCATGCATTAATTACATAATTATCTCAGCTTATGTTCATAGAGAGATGGATATCTGGTGATTTTCTAGAAGAATTTTTATCAATGTTGTTAAGTCAAGTGCTTTCTTCCCTTTCTGTTTTACTAATTATAAATTACCATTAGTATTACCAATTTAGTTTGTGAGAGCTGTTTGCTTAACTGCAGCATATAACGATACATAGTCTTCATCAATATTTTGGCCTATAATTTTACAAACACTAGACTGTAAAAATGCATTGCAGTTTAAAAAGCAGTCACCCATACCCTTATATTTAATACACATATATATGTGCATCATACTCTCAAAATTTGCTTCTATAGTGATACTTCATAGCCTGTAAAATTGGGCTATTTAAATAAATGACAGCATATTATCAAGGCATATCAAGGTATCAAGACTAATATTATTATCAGGCTATTTTAAACTTATGGGACACTTTCATAATGCACATGCATAGATTATTTTGTTTCTTAATTTTTTAAAACATCATGAAAATGTTAAAATATTCACAAAGATGAAAGAATTTCACAATAATCACCAATGTACCTACTACTTAGATTCTATTATTAATATTTTACTGTGCTTGCTTTATCACATATCATTCCATACATCCATCCCTGTCAATTCATCTAATTTTTGTTTGATGCATTTCAAAGAAAAATGCAGATATTAGTATACCCCCTTAAATACTTCAGCATGCATATCATTAACTAGAGTCAATTACCTGTTTAGTTTTTTCTTTTAAAATAAAATTTACATACACTGAAATGCACAATTTTTAAGTTTATACTTGCTGAGGTTTGCAAATTAATATACTGTATAATGCAAATACATATCAAGAAAGTTCTGTTTTGTCTCCTTACAATGTCTAAGTTCTTTTACCAACAGAGTTTTAATAGACGATGGAGTAGGTAAAAAATGGTCCAAAAATTGAGAAATATTCTCTAGACTACACTACCACATGTAACCAATTATCAGTGAAATGAAAGAATGAAGAAATAGCTAATGCCAAGTCATCAAAGATAATTCTTCAAACAAATTCTAGAAAAGTTTGTTATCAGATAGCGGTTGGGAAAATTATGATTCAACAACTTCAATACTAAAAATATTACATAAAATCTTTGTAATTGATATCTAATTTAATTAGCCAAATTCTGTTATTACCTGGGGTTTGACATTAAACCAGCTTATTTTAAAATTAAAATGATGACTGTAATGTTCATTGGTTCTATTAGCATATGAAATAGTTGAACATTTATTAAAGATTAATGAATGTATTCTAGTTTTTATTTTGTTGTTACTATGACAGAAAGCTAGAAAGCATCAGCATATTTTTAAACTGTTAAGAAGACTGTGTTAGGGTAGTGGTCACCAGAAGACATAAATATACACTATAGGTATGATATTAACCTTGAAATAAAATTAAAAAGCAAACCTAGTTGAGAAAACTAATTGAATGATACCTGACTAAACTGAAAACCACAGCAGCTGAGAAAATTCATCTAGCCTTTAAGTGAATTTACAAACGATCTCTAACATACCTATATTCTACAGTTAACTCATAGGAGTAAAAGGCAGGAAATTAATAAACTGTCTTTTTGTTAATAATTAATTCCCTTTTAAAAATACTTCTTTTTCCCCAGAGAAATCTAGTCAGGAATTAGATTCTCATCCTAATTATATCACCTGCTGAACTGTGTGATCCTGGGCCAACGCCAGAGCCGGGACTAGTGGGGGCACTCCCACAAACCTAAGGGTGAGCGCCTCTTTCAAGTTACTGCCCTAGGAGCCTCCTCTGCCATACTCCAGTCCCAGCCCTATAAAGCTGTTCACTTGAGTCCATTTTTGCTTCCGTAAAATGGAAGTAATAACTGTTCAGATTTCCTAAATATAACACTGTTAAAAGGATCAGTTAGAATAAGGCATATGAAAATACTTTGATAGACAAATAAAACACAAATACACATTATATTATTATGGTTATCCCTTGATTGCAAGCAATTTTTAAATAAAAACTAGTGTTGCATTTCCACACCAAATATTCATTTGGTCAATACATATGTATAAAAAACCTCTATGAGGGGCCAGCCCGGTGGTGCAAGCGGTTAAGTGTGAGCACTCCGCTGCGGCAGCCCGGGGTTTGCCGGTTCGGATCCCGGGTGTGCACTGACGCACCGCTTGTTAAGCCATGCTGTGGCGGCGTCACATATAAAGTAGAGGAAGATGGGCAGGGATGTTAGCCCAGGGCCAGTCTTCCTCAGCAAAAAAGAGGAGGATTGGCATTGGATGTTAGCTCAGGGCTGGTCCTCCTCACAAAAAAAAAAAAAAAAAAAACCTCTATGAGAGAAATAAATAAATAAAACAGATAATTATGGTTACTCTAAAAACCTGCTTAACATCAACTGCTCTACGATTACGGGTCAAGTCCTTGTCTTTATAATTACAGGTAAAGTCTGTATCTTCTTTCATTTTGTAGAATCAGTAACTGCAGCTATGTTCTTGGGAAGGGATTGGGGAGGACGGGGAGGGGTCAGCAGCTCAGTGATAGGTTTTAACACAAGGGACTCTTCCTTGCTTCTACATTTTTCCCCAATCTTTCTCCAAGATAGCAACTCAGACCAGAATAAAAGCTAAAATATTTTTCAATTGGGGTCTCTCTGTTCTCCCTTTCCTTTTAGGGGAATCTGATATAACCAGAGACAGCGGCAGCAAGAATAAGCACCAAGGAATATGAAGTCAAAGTATATGAGAACCAAATGGGGGAAAAATAAAAAGGTAATCTGCCCAACTGGGTAAAAAGAGGGATCAAACTTTTGCAGATAAAGACAAACACCAAGAAATAAGTCTCCTCGCTATCAGTCTCTTTTCTTCTAGAGGTTTTTTCCTTCCTTTCCTAGTAACAAACTAAATCTGAAATAACATCTATTTGTATTAATCACTACATAATTTCGGTAAGATGTTGTTTATTTCTAATCTAGAAAGCAAGTAAAATAAATTTTCTGCCTTCTTCACATCCTCAAAAATCTAAACTCTAATTACAGGGTTTTTAAAACTGGTATGTAGTATACAATTAAATATTTTCAGATAGAAACAAGCTCTTCTACACTAAAAAGTAGAAAAGAATTTTCATATAATCCTTCAAATTGAGCTTAAGAACATTCACTGCATTGCCTTTATTTTCCTAATTTTATCACAGAGAAGCAACAATCAAGAATATGTTTGGGAGCCACTGATAGAGAAAATTTAACTTTGGATCTTGAATATAAGAACAGAGAATTTGGCTACATTCCCACTTAAGCCTAATATATAAAACTGAACTCCACTGTATTCCTGTCTATGGTAACATGCTTTGGGGATCATCGTATGAGTTGAAAGAGCTTGAGAAGGATGGAATAATTCTGTTTTATGATATTTAAGGAAAGCATTAAAGCTCCAGTATATACACTCCAACTATAAACAAAAGATTAAGCCAGACACTATGAATTTGGTACTTTAGGATTACTCCCTCTCATTCCTCATAATATATCTTATCATTATCATTCAATAATTGAAAAATATGTAGTGCCCTACAGTTTATAAAGGGCTTCAAGCATAGATGTTATCATTTTACAGACGATAATACTGGGGGCCTCAGAGATATTGGTAAGTACTCAAGGCCACAAAGCCAAAAATTAGCCAAGATGAGGACTGAGCACGTCTTCTGATGCCAACTCCAGTGATCACTCGGTGGCATTACAGGCACATGACTTCAGGCTATTACTGTCCATGCATGGCTTCAGTTTCTTAAGACATGACAGATCAGTTTCACTTGTTTTCAAAAGCTTGGTGATCATGATCAACTTCCTATCTCCTCTCTCTAAAATGGGTCCTGGTTGAGTTTAAGGAGAAAGGGGACAAGACAGAAATTTTTTTTTTTTTTTTTTTTACTTTAGTGTAATTATCATCACTCCTCCAGAAATATGTCTGTAACAGTTCTTTGTTTTGATGTGTAGCTGCACTGCATATAGCCAAGAAATCAGCAGACTAATAAAGTGATATCAATGACTGGTTTATTCTCATATTTTACTACCTTGTCTAGTAGTATGGCTTAACACTGATCTGGATCTGGTAATCGTCAAGTGATTTGTATAATATTATAGCAGCTCAGATTTACAATTTTAAGAACACCTGGGTTGCTGCTGTATCACAGGGGAAAACAAGTCTGCATTTTACAATGCTTGAGGATACTAATTTTTACAACGTTTTATATTCATACCCAGAAGATGAATTGCTAAATTTACGTAACAATAAATTTGTTTAACACAATTTCTAAAGATATTACTGAGAATAATTTGATGAACTGAGGAGATTTTTACAAATAAAGCGCAATCTGCATTTTAATAAAACAGCTTTCACTGTTTATGTAAAGGCTGAGATGCCACCTGTGGTTTATCTTGTTGCAAAACTAAGCAATCACTCATGAATAAAAAGCTTTCAAGTTAAAAAATGAAAAAAATCATCCTAAGGTTACCTCTTTAAACATTATTTTGTTGCCTAAACTTCCGAGTAGAAAAATAAATTGAAATACAAGAGATAAATACAGATGGTTACATAATTACAAACTTAACCCTTCCTGAAAGGTACATCACTCACTTTCTCCACTGCTTGATTTGATCAGGATTCGTGTACTCTTTCAGACATTCCGTGATATGGTCTCCAATTTTTATTAAACACTGTCTAGTATGCTCCAGTTGTTCTCTTTCTGAAAGGCCTTTCTCAGGCCTATCAAGCTGTTTCAAAGCTGCTTTGACAGGTCTCATTCTTTCTTTACACTTTAAAACAGGAAAATAAGAAAATAAATACATATTAAAAACATGAATCACAGAGATCTACTTCTTTCAATGATATTTATGTGAGTAAAATACAGCATTGTTTGATGCTAAAATACACATTAAATCTCACCTCAGAGCTTGAAAATATCAGTGTTTTTTTTCCCTCACATTTTTTGCAGAAAGCAAGGCTTTCCACTATCATTTAAAATTCGTCTTTTGTAAGTAAAAGCTTTGGATTTTACTCAGCTTCTGAATGAATTTTTACTTTTTATGATTTTTACTTTTCTAAATTTTTACTTTTTACACTGTAGCACACCATTCTAAGCAGTCTTAAACACACGATATTAAAGATAATGAAATATTTCGTAGTATAACAATATCCTACATTCACTATAATATAGGATAAAATGTAAAAAAATAAGAATCTTTTTTTTAAATTTTTTGTTTATTGCAGTAACATTGGTTTATAACTTTGTATAAATTTCAGGTGTACATCATTATACTTCTATTTATCCATAGATTACATCATATAATAAAATATACCAGCAAAGCTATTAAAATCAATATAGCTACAAGTATAAATTGTCTATTTGAAAACCTTTGGGACAAAACAAAGCAGCTAATGACAAATTTTGCTACCATCATATTTTGGGTGGTCAGGGAAGCAGGGGCAGTTGATAGAAACAGACTTTTTCTTGGCCTACATATCGCTGGCATGCTAATAAAAGGACGACATATCAAAAATCGTATAATTCGTATCAAGTCCAATTTGTGTAATAAAAATTGTAACTTTACAACAAAACCAGAATAAAAATATTATTTAAAAAGCAAATTGTAGATAAATTTTATTTATGTACATAAATGCAAAAACAAATTTAAAATTAACAATAATTATATACAAGAGGAGCAAGTTGGGTTAGTTCCAGGAATGTAAGGAAGGATCAACTACAGACAATATATTTAGTTGATCCAACACTATTTATTTAAAAAAAGAAATCCTCACATTACTGCTGTGAAGGGCCGCTCCTGCTATAAATTAAGTATGACTGGATTTGTTGCTGGGTACTTTATTCTGTTTTATTGACCTATTTGTCGAAATCAGTTGGGAAGTTTTCCATCTTTTGTCAGGAATAATTTAAGTAACACTGGAATTATGTATTCTTTAGTTAAAATTAGAACTCAGCCAGGCTTGATGTCTTTTTTAAAAATGGAAAATCTTTAATTTCCTTTCTAATTTTTAGCATTATTCATTTCTGTTCTCTACATTTTTTGTTTCTTGTTCAATTTTGGTAAGTTTATATTCTGATAGAAAATGATTTATTCAACATATGTAAGTTGAGTGCATACTAGTTCTAGGCATTGTTCTAGACCCTGCCTTTATGGAACCTGTACCCCAGCAAAAGAAGAGAACCAAAAAGTAGGACTTAGTGTTAGATGGTGACAACTGTGATAAAGAAAAGTAAAGCAAGAAAGAGCAGGGAGCTTTCTACTTGAAGATTTCAGAGACGGTGATGTTTTAGCAGACATCTAAAGAAAATGAACAAGTAAGCCATTTTGAGCAGAGGGAAGAACAAGTACAAATGTCCAGTGTGGCTGGAACCAAGTGAGTGAAGGAAGTAGCAGGAGATGATGCGAGTAAATCAGGTACTGTATCGTTTAGGTTATTGCTATGAATCTTTTCTCCTGAATGAGAGGGAAAGCTATTCGAGGGTTTTAAGCAGAAAATTAACATGGGGTGACTTGATTCCCCCATAACAGTCATTATCACTGTGGTTGCTGTGTGGAGTACAAACTGAGGTATGAAAAGCATACAAGGTGAGATGGGAAGGGTGGAAGTAGTGAGAACAGCTATGAAGCTAGTGAAATAATCCGGGAAAGAAATGGTTGTGGCTTGAACAGTGTAGTACAGCCAATTTAGTTTGCTCAATGAGTGAATGCAGTTGGAGGAAAAAGAGAGGAACGGAGGACTAAAATCTACACTAAGGCCAAGGCCTGAAGATGGGTACAGGAGCAACGATAATATTTATAAAGCACTTATTAGGTACCAGAGGTTACGCATTGCTTTAAATGCACCTCATTTGATTCTGACAATAGACCTTTGCAATACTATTTACTCTCTTTTATATAAGAAGAAATTGAGGGGCCAGCCCCGTGGCTTAGTGGTTAAGTGCATGTGCTCTGCTGCTGGCGGCCCAGGTTCGGATCCCAGGCGCACACCGACGCACCGCTTCTCCGGCCATGCTGAGGCTGCGTCCCACGTACAGCAACTAGAAGGATGTGCAACTATGACATACAACTATCTACTGGGGCTTTGGGGGAGAAAAAAAAAAAAAAGGAGGAGGATTGGCAATAGATGTTAGCTCAGAGCCGGTCTTCCTCAGCAAAAAGAGGAGGATTAGCATGGATGTTAGCTCAGGGCTGATCTTCCTCGCAAAAAAAAAAAAGAAAAAAGAAAGAAAGAAATTGAAGCTTAGAATGAAATGACATCTGTCAAACCCAGGTCTGTCCTCAAACTCTGCACTCTTTCTTGACTGCTAAATTATACTGATATTTAGAAAGACAAATCAATAAGACATAAGGAAAATCAAGAGCTGTCAAATGAAGCAAAGACGTCAGGAAAATGAAGACTGAGAAAAGGTCACTGAATTTCTTAACAATCAGAACTATTCCCAAGTAAACTTTACATAGCAGTAAAATCCTAATCATGCAAGCTCAGAAAGTCTGGCTCTAGAGTCCATGTTTAAACCCATTCCATTCTTCCTCTCCATAATACAAGAGATTTTAAGATCATTTATGAAGGTTAATGGAGAAGAAAGTCATGCACTGGAGACAACTTGAAATTTTCCATTTCAGCAGTTACATGAACAAGTCAGAGGCTAAGCAGGAAATGTGGGCAAAGAAAAGAAGCAAGAGGTGCAATTTAACCTAACTCAGTAATGGAGCGGGTAAAGTAGGGGGAGCAGTTCAAGCAGAAGCACACCATCACCTCCCCCACTTCCACCCCAAACAGAGGGGATAAAAAAATCAATACAAAATGGATAGAAAGTCTAGATTAATACCTAGGTCACAAACAGAAAAGTTAGCCTTAACAATTTGCTAAGGAATCCTGCTTGTGAAGCTGGAGAAGAGATAAAAATGACAGTCCAGAGATAAGGTACATGTTTGAGTAAATAAGACGAAAGGCAGGAGCAGGAGCAGCTTGCTTTGAATGTCCCCAATATTCTTAAGGATTGAAGGGATGCCAACAGGTAAAAGTGAGGAGGACAAGAAAATTGTGGTAGGAACTCTTATATTTAAAGAGCATGAGGGCCAGCCCCATGGCTTAGCGGTTAAGTGCGTGCGCTCTGCTGCTGGCGGCCCGGGTTCGGATCCCGGGCGTGCACCGACGCACCGCTTCTCTGGCCATGCTGAGGTCGCGTCCCACATACACCAACTAGAAGGATGTGCAGCTACGACATACAACTATCTACTGGGGCTTTGGGGGAAAAAATAATAATAATAAAATTATAAAAATTAAAAAAAAATAAAATAAAATAAAGAGCATGAAAAATATCTGAAGCTATATTAGCGTATGTCACGGAATCGGTAGGAAATGAATAAACGGGTTCATTAATCAATATTGTCTAGACAGCGTACAAAATAGGAAAAAATGGGACAAGAAGGTGAGCTGGGGATCTAGAATGGCATAGGAGGTCAAGCAAACGTAATTTAGAAGGCAAAAATTTCCATCTTTCAAGTATAGCATTTGATTAATACCAGTGATAAAACTGACTTAAGATTACATCCAAGTCTAACAAGTGACAGAAGGATGTTAACAGCTCCAAACAGTGTAAAAGATTCAGATTCTAAAAATCCCTAAAGGAGAAATATTCTTATATGAATATGTATTTAAATATTTGTGCATTCTATAACTGTATATCAATGATACATTTATATATCAGACTATAAAATTTTCCCTTCAATTGCTACCTATAATTATATATTTCCTATTCAAGCTCTGATAATTCATGTCTGTCTCACATCATTCAGTCTTTTTTCTCTAAAATTATTACTCCTTCCTGATTTTGCTCTACATCTGGACTGCTAGTCATCTATCAATCTGTTGGCATGTCTGAATTCAGTAACAACATCCACAACTGCCACCAATTTTTTGAGCACAGCACTGTTCTGAAAACTCTACATGTATCAACTCATTTAATCTCATACTTACTTTCCTACTAGTAGCACTCTGGCTCCAGAGCCAGTACGCTCAACCTCTATACACGCTGCTTTCCCACACCGCAACCTCACTATAAAGTTTTCCTCAATTTATATCACAATTCATTTCACAGTTGAGACCACTTTGGGTTCCTGATTATATCCAGTCAATAAACCCTTTGGAAAAAGGTCTAGATTCTCTCTTACTCTGATGAACATAAAAGCACAGCAGCACGTAAAAACCAGTATATTTTAGACGAGTGTTATGCAAAGTGTGGTCTATGAACCTATACTACTACACAAAAGGATAGTACACAAATTTTAGAAATCTTTATATCAGTTTGACAGTGTAAATTTTATGTCTACTGAATCTAGTAATAAAACATCAGGGCTTATATTCCGTATATTTTTTTTTCTTATTTTCACTTTTCTAGTAAAACATTTTCACTTTTCGTTTTTATTGTATTTTCTAAAAAGACTGGTCTGTAAAAGACTGGAAAAGAAGCTAGTCCTTCACTGTAGATAAGAAGCAGTGTTATATAGATAGTAGGTTCAGGAATTGAAAAGTTTAAAATTCTAAAGTTGCAAGAAAAAAAGTTCACTCTAAGTATTCCCTAAATGCCTCTCCTTAAAATCTTTAAGAAGTTTTTTCAAGTTGATTCTCAATTTAAGAATACTCTTCAAAATTTAAATCTATTGCTTCTATTAATCTGAACTGCAGTTCTAGCAAATTCAAATACATTTCTAAATTAAAAGCTCTAAAAGATGAAATTGCAATTTAAACAATATGTTATATGAATTTAATAACCAGGGCTGGCCCCGTGGCTTAACGGTTAAGTGCGTGTGCTCCACTACCGGCAGCCCGGGTTCGGATCCC